TCTATGGGGTATTAAACTTCCGGAAGATGGTGATCCTTTGATCCCTCGATAGGAAAAACATGTGAAACTTTGAATCAGTGTGAGAGGTGCAACGCCCCGTTGAATAGGTCTAAACAGCAACAATGTTCAATAATCTTTGTACATGTATTTGTAGAACCATGGCGATAGGAAAGAACACCGGAATAAAACGATTTCATTTTTTTAATATGAATATGAAAATTTTTAATCTGATACGTTTTTTTTTGTTAAATCTTTATCAATTACTCGTTTCTCAGAATTTGGGAAAAAAACAACTCTTACCCTTTTCTCGCTAATAAAACGAAAAAATCCATTCAACTTTCGGTTTCGTTAGAATTATGTTTAAGAGGTTTCCTTAACTTTCCATCACCATACGATTGTTCCTATCAGAATGTTCAATGGAAATTATCGATCATATATATTAAGTACACAATTAGCGATAACGAGTGTACATTTATTATCAGTCTTTTTTTATAGAAATAACAATTTTGATTATCAGGTGTTCAAACAAAACTATTTCACATATCCCACTGCTTGAATAAAAACTTAACTTCTATATATATTAAATGAAATAAACACATTTTTGTTATGATCCATATTGTAACAATTTGTAATATCCGATGTATATATTTATAAAAATTTAAAATTTTAATGTATAGCCAAGTTTGATATAAAATATATACACGAATATATCTATCGTGTTGTACTTATTCTATACGTTTTGATCATTTGATTTTTTAAAACAGTTTAACAAAAGAATATTTCAAAATGTAAAGTCATGTAAAATGACCTCTGTAGGCGTTTTTATTTTAAAAGAATCCGGCACTCATTTTCCGAAAACCTCTTTAAATAAAAAAGTCTACGTAATGGCTATTTAGAGAGATTTTTTGTTCCAAATGATTTAGGCCTACATTAAATTTGCACAAATGGGGCTTAGAAATAGATTATGAATACATATATTAAGAATGTTACTGCATTGTCATAAATTAATGCATTGACACAATCATGGGAGAATCTCAGCAGGATTTCTTTAAAATTTTGGTGTAATTATAAACAGACTTTTCAAATTGAAATTATAATGTTTTCTTTTATATGTTTACAACTTATATACCTGTTTTCGAAAAAAAGCTTTGTGGATTATAATACAGGTTAAATTAAGGAGTGTTGTTTTCTTGTTTATATATATCACTTCGATCTGGCCATTACAGAATCATGAACAATACATGAATATGATTTGAGTTTTGATGAGCAATATATAAAAAAAACAGTATAAAATATTTTAAATATTGTTAAAATCTGTTTATATTTTTTTCAATGTAGAATATTAAAGGAGCTCCACTGCGGTCCAAAAGCCTAAAATCATTAAACTTGAATTTCTTTTATATATCAACTGGGGAACTTAAAACAACAATGTATGCAAAATATGCATACTAGAACTAAATTGAAAATCGTATGTGCGTGTTGTTTTTATCTCAATTTGAGTGAAAAGTGTTACAACGCGGTTCTGTGTCTTTCATCACATAATATTTCTGGAAAAGCACAGAGAGCGAATGATGTAAAATTTTGCACACAATTTATTGGTATAGACATACACCAAATTGAACATTGTTGTCGAAAAGTTATTTCTAGCCCAGTCATGTCAAGAAACCTTAGCAATGACCCTTTAACATCTCGATAATTAAAAGTATTTCCCCTCACATTAGAAAATAATACCATTATAGACACTGCTATAGTAACGAAATAATATATCCCGAACTGTGATTTTATCGCTCAATAACATCACTGTTTGGAGTTCGGATGCGAGGAATTATATCACGAGGGCGTAGCTGAGTGATATAATGATGCGCATCCGAACAACAAACAGTGATGTTATCAAGCGATAAAATCATCGATTTGGATATATTATTTCGATTCTAACATGACATCAACAAATAAATGCTGCCGTACCTGATATTAAGCAAAATTGCGCCTGATTTGTTTCCGTACATATTTTCAGCGCGTCGGATTTTGTGATTTTGTTGCATAATAATACATACTTTCGGTTGTTCTATATTCAACAGTGAAAAATACAGGTCTGTTAGAATATCTGATAACAATCAGTCAATACCAATAGATTAGTAAGTTTATTTGAAAAATAATATTTTGAAGAAAAAGACTTACTTAAGCGACCCTGAAGAACAATATTTTTAATTGGGCTTACACTTCAAGTTTATTCGCCTAAATAATCTGTTGAAAGTCTGTTATAAGAAAATACATTGCATTAAGAAATCACATATTGACGGGTTGCAGAGCGAGCGAGTCTATACTTAGACAACAATGCTTCACTTATTATGTGCTAACTGGCTTAGAGCACTGCATGTTCAATGGCTGGGATAGTTTCAAGATGTATGATAATTAAAAAAATGTGAAATTGTTAGGTGAAAAACATATCGTTTATGTTCTAAAACGAAAGTGGAATATCATTAATAATAATTAAACGAATATAAATCTAAATGTATTGATTCTTTGCATGCCCAATACAAATAAGCCTACTAACTAATTGGTATATCTTTATCAATTAATATGACGTTGGTGACATATTATTATGGCAATCCCATTGAATTCCTTTTGTCAGTTTTCAAAAAATTAAATACAATCATTGATATACATATGTATATTTAGTCGTGTCCTATATATCGATCATTTTCTGAAAAACACTCGTTATAAGCCTATGTATACGGTTTAATTTACCTTTATGTACTATACACTGTATATTAATCTAAATTCGATAAAACGTTTTTCAGTGTATATTGCACAACTCTGTTTGAATTCGATATACCGCCTCCGTGGTCGAGGGGTTAGAGTCGATGGCTTCTAATCCAGTTACCTCTCTGGCGTGGGTTCGATCCCCGGGAGATGCTTTGGTGGTTTAGTACGGAGGAAGGTAGTCTAGTACTTGTGTAACTCTCCAGGAACGATGGTTAGGAAACTACCCGCCTATATCATGTATATGATTGAAATACTGGTGGGAAAAGGCGTATGAAACAAACAAACTAACTAAAAAAAGCATTCGATATGCGTCTCATTAGAAATTGGGTTCAGTGTCCTTTGTTTTAAAAGTCCGTGAAATTGATATCAATTTAATTATTTTCTATGATATATTAATTGTTCATACAAGTACAATCTACTTAAATTCCTTCTAGGGCAACACTGAAATATAAACAGGTCGGAATCAGAATTATCTCTATTTGTTATTGATAACAGCTTAGTAAATTTTTCAGAAACAAAATCATAGGCCTAAATGCTACTGTTGTTGAATTTCTAGAGTAATATGTAGACATGCAGACATTATGCCGAGTTGCGAGAGATTGATTGTCATTACCGATAAATAAATTGTGTGAATGTGCACAAAATAAAAGACCCATGACCGCTCACTAACGCTTGCTTTCTTCGTTCTATTTAATTAAAAAAAAAAACAACACGTTGTCTGCTTTGACTTTGAAACGGTCTATTACTGACCAATTTAACTTTGAAATAGACTAAAAGATGCTTTGATAATGCAATAAAACATTACTCGTTTGATTTTTGTTATGGGGGGGGGGGGGTGGCACACTAAAATTACGGAAAACGATGAAATTGTTTCAAGCAAGAATATTATATATAATGTATGACTAGCATGCTATCTCCCCTCAACTACATTTCGCAGTTCAACTATCAACTTTTTCGTCTGCTACTAGTTTCATTGTTTTACATTTTAAATGTTTTGAACTTCTAGATGAAATTCAATATCCGCAAGTCTTTTGACAAACAAAGTTCTTCCTTCCCATGAGATGGAAGAATTAGAAGTTGACTTATTCTAAAACTATTTACATTGCTAGTTTATAAAATGGGTAGGTAAAAACGTACGAAATACACAGAAGGTTTTGTTATGGTTCCATTTTTAATAAATTTCCCGTATATGATAAAACATACATTTCTTATGGAAACAAATTGTATATGTCGTGTTTCCCCTTGAAGTAACCAAAACATGCTGAGTTTCGATTTTGCGTGTAATATTTATCACAGAAAATGAAAATCTTAATGGTCCATTTATCAAAATTCAACCACGGTTCAAAATACTTCGTTATTTGTGAAATGAATAATCTATGTTCAGGTCATGCTGGAGAACTTCTGTTAAGAGTTTTCCATGTAATCTGATATCAAATTCGACCCAAACACGTTATATACACCCAACCTTCTGGAACTGAAAGTGATTTGGACATAACTTGCCTCTAATATAGACCCAGTCTAACCAGACCCTATACTGTTGGTAGCTCATATTTAGCCTTTTTACACTGATATCCGTCAATCAAAAATGGTACTAGATAGAGTTATTGTTCTTTTATATTGCACATTCAATGCGTTCAAGGCACGGAACCACGATTTTGCGACAAATGGTATAATGCATATTCCAGAGGAGGTTAGGGATTTCACTTGTTTTTATCAGAGGGGGGAACATTTCATACATTTGCGTGAATGCATTTTTTTCTGAAAGAAATATATCCATCTTAGAAACTTATAAAACAGTGTTTGATTTAAACCTGGATAAAACTTACAAAATGTCAGTTCCCACTTAAAAATGAAATGAAAAGAAAGGTTTTCTTAAGCAATACATTTTTGCTAAAAGAGATATATCTATGTATGAATTTTTTAATGCTCTGGACGAAAATAAGTATGGAAATATCTCCAAAGTTGTTTTCAAACAATTCACTTTTATGCAATGAGGTTTATATTCAAGATGGTGTAAGGGATTTTATTTGTTTTATCAGAGTAGGTGACAAGTCATATGTGTGAGTGTTTTTCACTTCCGTACCCACAAGCCGATACCTCAAGAACATTTTACTTATGCCCCGCACGATATAGACGGCAAGTCGAACGAGCCGATTCTGGTATTACCCCTTACAACTTCATTGTCCGGGCTGGTGGAATGTATTTTGATTAGGTTTGAAAATCATATAACACAGTTTAATATTCAAAGAAATTTTAATATTTTCAAAACAACGATAACGTGGTTGTATAGTCATCGATACATTCTAAACATCATTGCAAAATACAATTATCAAATTATTACTCCGATATGTAAAGACTTAACAATGATAATGCATGAAAATCATTGATGTAGCCTCACTTTCAAAAACTGTCAGGATAATGTATATTATCATGATATGTTTATAAACATTTAAACAATATCATTGAGATAATTTAAAAATCAATTACATTATCTAATAACATTTGAGTCATACAAGATAGCTTAATTTCATTGTCTGAATGTCAAGACATGACATTAACAGCCTTTGTTGATGTCGTATCTGCAAATGGGACATATTTTATATAAGAAAGCTTCCGAACATTTGATACTTTTATAAAACACCAAGTTGTAAATAGAATTATAGAATTATATAGTATATAGAATTATCAAAATAAAAAGGAAAGTATAAACCATTACAAAGGACATTATATTATATCAGAAAGCTTCTGTAGTTTTTGGACATATCATGAACTTTGAAAACATTTTTGTTATTTTCAAAAGACACAAATGGAATGATTATTATAAAATGGAAATATGTCACACTGGCAGAGCGAGCCTACTCCCAAAAATACACATGTCTCAAGTGTTTACTTTCAATACATGTTATAATTAATGATATGATATGGTTCTCATGTGACTTGGCGAATGATAATGATGATAAGAGCGTTATTTCAAAGAGACGACATACAGTATAGGTCAGGTATTAAAAGCTTGGAAGTTAAACTAAAATACGAATGATCTTAAATAAAATCGGGAACAAACACAAGTAATCATTAGCAAATATGAAAGTACAAAATAGCATCAGTTACTAAGTAAACTGTAATTTCTTTCATTTAATTCGTCAATGTTAATACAATAATGATAACAAATAATATTAAATGATGCTGATGATGATGATGATAATGACAATGATGACAAAAATAATGACAATGATTATGATGATGATCTACTCAATTGTTCATATTCATTAAGTTTTTTGTCAAAGGAAAATAACGCGAAATCAAAACGTGTAATATCTTAGGTGTAATTACACATTTTCTCGCATTGATTTAACTTCATTTATGAATTCCTAAGAAAGTACAAATTGTCAATTTTTAAACAAAATATAAAAAACTATGTGGCTCTAATACTCTAATACACACAATATATTAAGTCAATACACATTTTATTAATATATTAATTACATTTTACTTGGTAAATTATCCTATTGCGATAACTCAAACGGGTAAAAAACAATACACATTAAAACAAAGAAGCGCAAAGAATGACTCTTAAAATCAAGCAAAAGAATATAAATTGTTAAATACATGATCATGTGAAACATCTGCAATCAAAAAATATTAAGAACATTTCAATGTTCTTTACAAGTTCAATACCAAATTAGTTGTCAAATAATATTTCAATAATGCAGAATGAATTTCTTTCTAGAGGAAACGCCCATACCAGACATGTATAAATAAAGTACACATAATGTTCATAACAAAATTCTACACACACGTTTGTGGCAAATAGTTTAATAAAACAATTTACATACTTATTTTTATCATACTATTTCCCAAGCATTTATACAAGTATGAAACACTTCTTTTGAAAACATTAAAAATTAATGACATCATAATTTAGTTTATGTACAACTTGGTATATATTTTATATCTTATGTGTTTTCACCTCACATTGTATAAAGCTATATCTTATTAAATACTTTCATAAATTAAAAGTTAAACACAGTAAAAACATAACGTTAACATAATCTTATGGTCGGTTTTCGAAATAGTTTCCTGTTACTTCTGTTCTTAAATACGCGTAAACAGTAAAAAAAATTCATGAACCAAATATTATGCTGCTATATTAAGTCAAACCATTCTCTCAAAATAAAAACTTCAAAACAAATTTCTTTCATACAGACATATTGAAATTATTATTTTCGAAAATTTAAACGATTTTTGTGATCTGAAGGCAGCAAAGATACAGCTTTATATTTTAAACAAGAGCCCGGTTTAAGCCGGGTGATGCTCCCCGAATAGGTTTTAGACACAGGAAAGTACACCTTTTGTAGTTTCAGAGTTATGTCCCTGGAAAAAGTTCAAAGTGCAATAATTCCAAAATTAGGCAAGGCAGAGTTACTGTTCTTTGCACTGCACTTCTAATCAGTGCGATCTATCAACCTACAAAGTTTCTTGTTGATATCTCTTATGGTTTTCGAGTTATGTCACGGACAACTTCAAAATGTAAAAATGAACAAAGGCCAATTACTACAAAATTTGGCAAGGCGGAGTTCAAGTTCTTGTGCACTGCACATCTACCCATTGAGATCCATCTACATACAAAGTTTCATGTTGATATCTCTTATAGTTTTACAGCTATGTCCTTTACAAGATTTTTCTAAAAGGGGAGATAATTAAAAAATGAGGCTTATCAGAGTTATGGTTCTTTTCCACTGCACTACTACTCAATGAGATATATCTACCTACAATGTTTCATCTTGATATCTCTTATAGTTTTAGAGTTATGTTCCGGACAAAGTTCAAAGTGTTAAAATTAACAAAGGGCAATAACTCCAAAATTAGGGAAAAAAGAGTTTTTGTTCTTATAAACTGCACATCTATCCATTGAGATCTATTCACCTACAAAGTTTCATGTTGATATCTCTTATAGTTTAAGAGTTATGTCCCAGACAATATTTTTCTTTAAGGGGAGATTTTCTTTAAGGGGAGATAATTCAAAAACCGGGCAAAATAGAGTTATGATTCTTTGACTCAATGCCCTCTACCACTGTATGAAGTTTAAACAAAGTATCCCCAAGGGTTTTCAAGTTATGCTCCGGACAAGACAACGGACAGACAGACGGACGGACGACGAACAGACGGACAAGGCGCCGACTATATGCTCCCCCGAAATTTTTCGGGGAGCATAAAAAACGCTTCACGTGTACATTTACCTTGACCAACATTGGAAATTTCATCTCACTTACTCTTTTCTACAAAATCATTAACAATAGCGCATACAGTTACCGTACATGGTGTGCATATAGAAAGACGAGAACAAACAGGTACATGCATGGATACAGTGTATTGTGGAAACACGAGGAAAAGCTGCGATTACAAAGGATATTTAACATATTCATCAAACATCCCTGGGTGTATTTATATGTATCAGTTGTCTAAACTTTCAAACAATGTAGCGGTCAATAAAGTAAATGTAATGAAACTAAGTATCTTTATCAACAAAATTGATAAAAAGAAGGCTTTCTATAAACTTTGTTAAAGCTCTCAGTTATAATTATGTATCATTGCCAAATAAGGTATTGCCAAATACTAGTAACAACATTTATCACTGATTCTAAGGAAAATTATATTGTATTTTATAAATTAAAATGCAATTAGACAAAATGATGATACATTTTGATGAGTGTAAAATTGATTTAAACACTAGAGGTAAGTTCAACTGAGTTATTGTTGAGGAGCAAGATTGTATTTATTTGACGCTGACAACAACTGATGACAAAAATAGAATATATTGACAAAAGCTAAATACTGTGCTTTTTCTTTGCCTTTAAACCCATACTATGATTAGGGTTTCTGTTCTCATAAACTTTGTACCAATTCATATGAAAACTACCAATGTATATTGACGTTTCAACCAATACGAGTAATCTTGCACTCATTTTTTTCACAGTAAACACATAACATAATAATAAACTTTTAACAAAATATTATATTTTAAATAAAAATAATCATGTACACATTCATCATAAACAAGAGATTTAGGTGTTTAATCTATTACGTAACACTATTATCAAAGTGAAATAAATTAAAATTAATATTAGTACATTACACTGAAAATACAGCACGACATATAAAAACTCTTACGAATATGCTACTTGAAAATAAACGTTACCTATATTTATAAACACATTCATCATAAACAAGACAAGTGTGTCATAAATTACGTTGCAATGAGTTCAAAGTTAAGCAAATTAATTCTTTCATGCATTATTTACAAATGTGGACAAAAATATCTTATTTATTCAATATGTTACAACATTATTTGTAGCAATTATAATCATATAATTCAACAAATACATATTGACATTATTTATAGAATAGTTTAATAATGACATGGTCTATGGCTAATGTAAACATGTCAGACATCCATGAAACAGACTGATAAATATATACATATGACATATTCACATTAAAACATAATCGTCAGCAAGTTTGCACATCTAGTCTAACGATAAGGTATATCTTACCCGCTTCTTCTTATACACATTTCTGAGTAAATATAAAAGCATAGGCGTATCAGTATTAATAAAGTTGAAGTTATTTGACTGACGCATTTTTATACCTCGTCTAAAACTTGGTAAACATCACCTTTAATTTCAATCTTCAAATCACCATCAGTTTCTTTGCTGCTTCCAACTTTCCTAACCCGCTTCCTAGAAGATATCCCACTAAGCTTTAATTTATCTTTATCTCGACATCTTATCATATGTTTTCTTGAAACCGATGTCAAAGGTTTGGTTTTGCGCCGAGTTCTCAAATTATATGTCTTAATATAACCTTTATCACACGTTTTGTCCGTCTTCAAGCCAGGTTGTTGCCGTCTTTTCTTATTTAATACGTTTCTCAAATCACATGGATCATTAGGCTCTTTAATGGTTGCTTGAGTTCTGCTTGGAATGATCTCTGTGTCAGTATACTCACTTTCTGTACAGTTATCATCTTGCAGAATTGGGTCGCATTCGGATAGTTTCCTTGAAACTCTTGTATGTTTTATTCCTTGCCCTGTCATTGGCTCTTGACTGCAGACAACACGTGCCCCGAAGGTATTACAGTTAAGATCTTTTGATAAGATAGCATCATCAATTACTTTACCCGAAAGTCCAATTCTCAGGTTAACTTCCTTCTGTGATTTGTATTCCTGTTTTAATGCTGAACTTAATGTAGTTTCAGTGTCATCATATAATTCAAAATCATCATACTCCACTAAATTTCTCTCTGATGCTGGTGTCCTTCCTTTTACAGAAACTTCATGAATATTATCCCAGGGATTTGAAAACGTTTTTGTGACGTGTTTGTCAGTTACCCCAATGTCACGGTTGTTAGTCTTTGTTATGACCGAAGGTTTGTCAAAAGCACTTGCATCAAACGCTTCAAGCGGGTTTGTTTTATTTTTATAATGTTCTTGTTTAGTTTGTATTTTAAAGCTCACGTTTTTGTCTTTCCTCATTTTTTTCCCTAAAGGTTCCATTTTGTCCGTCTTATCATTTAACCGTTTTCTTTTATTTGACTTTGAACATGTTGCCCCTAAAAAGTCAGACAATACCTCAATACCAGAAATTATCAGAAATGACAATAATTTCATGAATCATTCTTTGAATAAATGTTGTAAGATTTTATGCACACCATACGAAATGCTTTGACATTATATATCGTGATGATGATTTAATAAAAGAGTCTATCACTCCTTACAAATGTAATTTTGTCAAACATTTGCTTTAATTTTCAGTAACTATAGCTTTTATTAGTATTTGTATAATAGATAACTGATTTTGTAATATTTTACATGAAAAAATAATTCAAAGAAAATAACAAAGGACTAAAGACGTGTTATGTGCAAAACAAATAAATAAAAGTTTGATATAATTAGACTACGTCTATGTGCTTTGATAGCCTTTCCAAAAAGGAATGTACATATAATTTCATTGCTTTCAAAATTAAATAATCTTTACCTAACTTTGACGATCGCTGTGATTGTGCCTTTTTCAGTTTTTCAATATCAAACACCGATTGCTCTGAAATTTAAAAATGACGAATTCACAAAAAGTGTGATATATAATATACGTTTGCACGTTTACAATGCTTATAAGAAGGTAAAAATTAATTTGTTTTCTTATATGCATTTGAGTCATAATCATATTTATCAAGATATGTAAAGATATAATATTTACCGTGATGAAAGTATGGAACTCCGGGCCATTTCAGCAGCTTCACCTGATACACGTCCTTTTCAACAACACTCTCTATTGCATTTTCCTTCACGCATTCGTTATTTTCCCGACACTCGTTCTTAATCTCTTTTGACATTACATTTACATCATTGTAATTTATATTCATCACTGTACATTTTGTTTCATCAGCTTCATCTACTCTGTCATTACGGATTATCACTTGCCGAACGGTATCGGGTTCTTCAATAATTTCTCCGTCTTCTTTGTCTTCAAGATTTAAAATGCCTTCTTTAATAGAGGTTACCTCATTTTGCTGCAAAACCGAATCTGTTTCAAAATGTCTATGAACTGTTTTAATCTTTTGAATTGCACTTTCCATGATTTCTCCATCTTCTAAATTCGCACTTCTATCGGGCAATTGATCACATATGCTTTTGATTGTTTGCACAGTCGATTTATTGTCAACGTTTTGTTTTATAACAAGACCACTTCTTGGGTGTTTTTCATTAATATCTGATCTTTCATCATTGCCTAGATTTTGAACTCCACTTATATGATCAATGGACTTATTAAAGTTCTTCTCTATTTTTTTCAATTT